TTAATTAAGCAAAACACGTGCTCGACCAAAAGCGAACAGTTCATTCCTTATAGCTGGCTAACCAGAATGTAGTACCACAGTCACAAGCTATTTCGCTACCCTGCAAAAATGGGACTAATAAGCAAAGGAACATGCGACTAATACCACTTTTGATCTCTTTATATGGAATGAACTGTTCCCTTTTGTTCGAGCATGTCCTATGAAGAGACTAATTGTTCACCTTTATACCCGAACGGGTATAAAAAGCGACTAGTCACTTTTAAAAAATAAAAATAAAAATTTGCGCCAGCTGAGATTCGAACCGGGGTGCTGCTCAGTTTTGTTAGTCGAATACTCTCTCTGCGAGCCAACGCCGCACATGAAATTTCATTAACTAAGTGCGTACATATCATTAAGTCGTTAATAGTACCCGTTAAAGATGAATTGGGAACTAATTGATCTCCAATTATACCCTTTAGGGATGATTCGAGACCAATTGATCTCCATTAGTACCCGTATGAGACTAGTTGCGACTAATTAATGCCCAATTGTACCCGATTGAGAGTAATCTCGGAATACTCTCTTTAGAGATTAGTCGCACAATTTTTTGCAGGGTGGCTACATCAGCAATAATACACAACAACCACAACTACATATTGTGGGCAGATTAGAGCATTTAGAATACACATTTTAACTTTTGACAGCTCTTGCTACATACCACAGCCTCACCATTCTGGTTAGCCAGTAAAGAGATCAAAAGTGATATTAGTCGCAAATTCCTTTGCGATTGCTTCCGGAGTCACCCCGGATTAGTCGCATATTTTGCACGGTATGTATGTACATATCTACATATGTACTTATGTATGTATGTATGTACAAATGTGTATCTAAAACCCAAAATTGTTTACTACTATTTTTAAAATGGCTCATTAGAAATGAAGGGAAAGAAAATTGTGTAATAAAAATTTTGTATTGAGAAAACAAGTGCATACCATAATATAGGCTGACTTCTATTTGCCAAATGTTAAATGGTAATTTGATTACAACGTTGAGAATTTTCGTCATATCCCTTTCAGACTAGGGATGCCGTTTTTAAATCGATTAAATCGAAGAGTAGATTTACAGTTCCGATGCGATCCGTGAATCGATTCAAAAAATTCGAGAAACGACATTCTACTATTTTTCCTCAATTGATGCAAATTGATCTGCGGTATACCTCAGAAAATCTATAACATTTCAAAGAAATTTCAATTGGAGGCTACTACAGAAAAATAATGCGGCTTGACACCTCCCACCTTTCTAACTACAGATAGGAGAGACGAAAGCATTCAATGACCTGCCAATCTTTCTCGTCCGATTAAAGGGCTCCTCGAAGACTCTTAGAAATAATGCTATATAAAATTATTGCTAATACTACAACAAAAACTCCAAAAATCGGAATTCCAAACTTGTTTGAAATTTTCATAAAAATTAGGCACTTTGGAAAAAATTTTAAGTACGTATGCAGTTTTACAGCAAATATTGTCGACCGTATTGCAAAGAAAATCTACATATGTATATACGTAAGCTCCATTTTATTATAAACTTTTTTAAATAGTGGTTAATTTCCAAGTAAAACATTTTTTTTTCTCATTTGTGATCAAACATTTCCTTAAGAAGGGTTAATGATGAATTTCCACTAGGCATTAAATGACAAACAAAAATTTTAATGGCAATGTTGAGTATTACGTTCAGAAAAATATTCATAAGTGCGATTCATGAAACTTTGCAAAGTGGCATTTTTGGTGAAATGGCAACCTTGCGAACAAAATTGTATGAACGACCTATCGCACCTCCGGATGGCAAATGTAATTTTTTTCAAAATGCTGCACATAAGTGAAAAGTAAAACGCTTGTACCATTACATACGTTGGCATACATTTTTTTTTTTGACGTAGAATACGTCTTACCTTAAGGTATGGGGGCTATGTTCAAATGTTGTAGTTGTAATTTTTAGAGCTTCACAAAAACGCTTATTGCACGAGAACTAATAAAGCGATTTCAAAGAAAAGTGTGGCGTTTCAAAGATAAAATTCCAAACCTGTCGACAGATTCATTTTTGTAAATAACCAATTCGGTTTCTGTCGTAAAAACAACGGTAAACATTGCCTTATTTTGGGGTCAATTTTGAGCCTTTAAAGTGCTCTAGCAACTTATTGTTGGCATATATAACTTTCATTTTCGGGATATAGGTTCTTTGGAGGAGTAGAAATATTATCGGGTACAAATTTTATATAAATTTAACAAATATTGAGCATTTTAAGGCAAAAAATTGTTGAAAAAATTTGCAAATTTTTTTCATTACCAAAATGCTCGAAAACCGCTCGAATGATTTTGTTTTTGTTTTCTTTAATCAAAAATTCAGGAGTTTTCCTTTCGTTTGGTATATGGGAAGTATTGGTTGATGTCTTCTATATATGTTTATTTTATTCAAATATATGGGCATACATGATTTTCCATACAAAATCACCTTGTCATCATTTTGCAAACACGTGCATATGTTGGAGGTGTGGGAAGGAGACAAAAAGTATGTATGCGTATGTAATGCGGCTTTTGATAAACAGAGGCGCGCTATTTATAACCTAATCGCAGCGTGTGTACATATGTAAATACATACATACGTACATATGTTGATTGCAGTTAATGTGGATCTGTTTCTATTTTTAGTAATCTATGTATGTCTATACATACATATGTACATACATATTATATATGTACATACATATATGAACACATGTATGCATAATACGCGAAGACTTTTCGAAGTGAAACAACATTTAGAAAAAGTCCAATCCAAGAATAAAAGTAAAGGTGAGGACGTACATAGATAAAGAAAAGGATAAAGGCCAAGGTAAAAATAAACACAAAAAACAATGGTATAAAATAAAAATAAAAATAGGGCTTTCGCTTATATTCTCATTGAGTTCTTTTCACTTAGAAGTATGTAAATTTGTAAAATTTTGGAAAAACCCTTTTTTTCTTAGTGTGTGATTTCGTTTTTGACTTGGATATGCTCTTAACCATACCACGTATTCTACGTTTAAATATAGCGGCTGTATCTCCGATACAGCCTGCAGACCAAGACGAAGGCGCTGGACTGTTCCTTTTTTTCAAAGTATTTACTTGATAGCCTTCGAATAAATCTGGATGAAAAATTTATGTATGCTTTAAAAATTACAATAATAGTTTGGTCAGATCGTTGTAGTTTTTTTTTTTTTATTAGAGTGAAAGTCCGGTACTCGAGTTTAACCAAATTAATAGAGTTCATAATGACAAAAATCGTATACCTGATTTAGTGTTTACTAATAATGATCTTGAATGTGACGTCGAATCCTTCTCTTCATGCGGTCTTTCTCATTCTATGCATCACAAAGTACGTTTTATTTATACGCTTTGAATTTATAAACTATATAAAATCAGCTATTTATAATGGTAAGAACTCTAACTTCACTGAAGCTTCATTGAGATAGCATGCTCTTTGAATTCTTTTGATTGTGAATCTGCCTTAGACAAAGCTGTATTGTCACAGACCTATGACGCATTTCGAGACAAACTGGAGCGGCAATTGAAAAATTCGTCCCTATGAAGCCAGTACAAAATGTGTACAAATATTTGTAGGCTTATTGATATAAATAATAAAAAAAAACTAAGGCGTACCATCTGTGTCGCAAAACGGAAATTAATATTGAACTATTTGGAGCCTACAGAAGTTTAGAAAAAGAATTTGATGCTCTCAATAAGTTTTTATATCAGAAATATAACTTCAACATTGAGATCGAAGTAAGATTGAATAGTAAACGGGTTATAAAATTTATAACGAGACAAATTAAAAACACCGGAAACTTTCAGAGAAAGGTGGACCTTCCACTCAGCCGATATATTTATTATTATTTATATTTTCAGTTCGCGGATATTTTAGTTTGGTTTTGTTGTTTTTTTATTTCTTAATTATTCTAATATAAATTTTTGTTTTAGGATAATGATAATTGTCATGATAATGTAGTAATGAGAAAGGGTATTGACTCTAAATTGAGAGTGAATTCCTATTCTAAAAGAATTATTCTTCTCATTTTTTCATTTTTTTAATATTCTTGATTTCCTCATATACAAAAATTTAGTTTTAAATTTCTATAATATATATATTTTTTTCATTTAAGAGGGATTTTTTTCCTTCAGTTTCAGAAAATGTATAGGTTTTTAAAAATAATACACAGCAAGCGTAAAAAATAAGTGAAGTTTTGACGATTTATTTTTGTTTTTTATTTTCCATACCACATTTTTTTATTTTCTTATAAAAAAATTTAGTTAACTCGCATGAACACAATCGCATATAAATAAATAAAATCGTCAAAGTGTCAGGGTAGCGCACACTGTATATATGTAGGTACCTATTTTTTATATAAATTTTTTTTTATAATATTTCTTATATAATTTAATTGTTTTCTTTTCGACCTATTTTATTTTTATTTACTTGAAAAAGTTAGATTAGGTTTTGGAAAAAACTTGCTTTTTACTTAGGTTCATGTATTTAGTTTGCAGTTTTATTGAAGTATTTTTTATAAAATTTGCGTACTCATCTAAGCCGGATTAAGGAGGTTTGAATTAAAGTTGATTTTTTTTTAACGGCAGAAACTCTGAAACTGAAAACTTTTTTTAAATTCAGATGATTTTTTTTTTAAGTTTGTAGCAATGTTTGACAATATATATATATATATAACAAGCAAAGACTTTTATAAGATTTGCAATTGGTTGATGAAAGGGGAATAGAAAAAGTGAACAAAAGTCCATTGGTCATAATTACGGAACAATTTTATATTCACAGCTTTTTTTTGGAGGATTTTTACAATGTTTTCTCAACCTATTGCTTGCGCCATGATATACGACATCATCTATTTTCTTTTCAAAAAAAAAAAAAAAAAAACTAAATTAAAAATCTCAAAAACACCTGATATATTTTAGGAAATTATAAAAACACTCACTCACCTTTTAGGTTTCTGCGATCACGTTATTTTTTTAACCTTCCAAAAATAAGGTCACGTCTTGCACTTCATATAACAAATTTAGACACATTTCTTTAATTTATGTTTAAAGAGTAGATTTTATAATATTTATATTTTTAGGCAACACTATTTGTATTTAATTTTGTCACTCTTTACAACAGTGAAAAAATTTTTCTTCCAGCGATTTTTATCTCTGTAATGCGATTTAACAAATATTTTATTTTTAAATATTTTTTTGTTTTTTTTAACAATTCTTGATTGCTTATGCTTTATAATTTTCTTATAACATATAACTTTCCACCACTTTTTAGCTTATCCGCAAATTTACACATTTCTAATATCAATCGATGACAGTTTCATTGAAATATTTGCTCACTAAATTGTGTATAATTATTTATTTTTCTCTTACTTTTTTGTGGGAAAAAGCCTGATTTCCGCAAATTTTCAAACAAATATTTTAAATGCACGATACAACAACATTTGCCTTCGTTTCGCAAACATTTATGAGTTCCTGTAGAAAAACATTTTTTGTTTTTTTTTTTAACTCGTTTGCCGCAAAAATTCGCAAATTCCTATCGCACCAGCAAGCTGTGTGTGTAGTATTTATGTACAATATTTTTCGCTTTTTGTGAATGGCGAGTGATTGTTGCACGTTTACGTTCTATTTTTTTCATATTTTTATTTCGTTTTCATTTATTTTTGTTGACTTCACGCTGCTTACTCACACACTGTCCGTCCTCGTCGCGCACTGCTCTCCGTCACCGTCACCGCCGTCGTTGTCGCGTTCTCGTTTGCCGCGCGGTTCACCGTACGCGAGCGTCATACAAGCAAATATTAAAAAAAAATATAAAAAAAACTATCAACTATTGGGTACGCTACACTCCGTTCGACGTGAGTTGTGCGATGAATTACGTTCGTTTTTCTTTCTACTCGTTTGGTATATAACAACAACAAACAACTTCTTTGTTTTTTATAAGTTTTTTTTTTGATTTTTTTTTGTATTTACACAAACAAAAAATTTAGTTGGAAAATCATAAACGGGGTAGTATGTACATACATACATATGTGTGTGGGGACAAGTGAGAAATAAAATATTTTCGTACACTACGAGCACTGCACACCGCTATTTACTGTCGTTTTTGCTTTTGCTTTGGTCTTATCGCGCACGGGTGGGTTTTTTTTTATTTTTGTTTTTAATCGTATTTTTTTAAAACCAAATGCAGATAGAAAAAAATTTTGTGTTTTTTATTGTATTTTCTAGTGTTTAAACGCACATTCCAGTCCTCGGTTTTTTTTTTTAATATATTTACTGAGTTTATTTTGCTTTTATAAAAATATTCTGGTTTTCTACGCTCATTTTTAACAGTTGTGAAAATAGTAGTCTTTCGCTGATTTTATTTCTATTTCTATTTCTAGTCTCACAACAATAAAATTATCTGTTTCCGCAGCACATTCGTTTCCACTATCTTTTATTATCAACCGCTCGCGTTTACCGCTTAATACACATACATACATATGTAGACAACAAATGTTTATTTTACTAGTCGCACTTTGCAAATAAAACAAAAAAAGCACTCGTTACATTATTATTTTCTCTCTTACAAAACAAAAAAAAATAATAATGCTTATTATCGCTCGTTTTGACGACTGCGTTTGTCAGCGCTATACTTTCGATACTTTAACAACGGAATTGTCAAGTTGAAATTCCTCAATACGGCGCGATCATCACTTATCCGACCGATCGAAATGTACGGTGCTCGTTGGCAACATTGCCGCCAGTGACTAACATGGCAGCACCAGCGCCACCCAATGCGAACCGTCCGCCAACACTGCGATCGAACTGGCGCACCACATGATGCCGTCGACAACATGTTGCAGCGCGACAAGTTCGGTAGGCAAGCGGTTGCGTGATGTTGCCACTCAGATTAGAGCTGTTGTGGGATTTTATGGTGCTTCCCGGTAAACAAGTCAAAATTTCTTCATTTTTGTGTTTTCGAAATGCAGTAAACAGGCATTTATGTATTTAGTTAGTTAGCGAAAAGTTTAATTAGAGTGAGTAAACTGTATATACATAAATAAAATTTAAAAACAAAAAAATGTTTGCAATAAAATTGCTACGTTTAGGATTTTCTCTAAAATGCTACCTCTAAATCTTAAATATAAATATTTATACAGGTAGCTTTGTGATGATTTTTTTGCATAAATACAGTTATGATAATTTGCTTTTGTTAATTTTTCAACTTTTGCCCTATCTTCCACTCTCGCATGCTATTGCGAATGTTGTAATCAAAACAAAATGTTCAAAATATTATGTTGCAGCTGCTGTTTGACTACCGAAAATCAGCAGCTGTTCTTTGTTGTTGCTACATTCAATTAGTTGGGGCGAACGTGATTATTGTGGCACGATTTTATGGAGCTACCGAAATCAAAAGCAGGGAAAGTGTGGGGAAAGGATAGGTAGTGCTATCGTATCTCAAATTCACCAAACAATTTCTTTAACTTTTTTTTTCTTTAAGCAAACAATCAATGCCAAAGTCATGAACTTTTATGGACAAATCATGGATGTCTGACCTACAATAATAGAGAGTATCTATATCTACTTGGAATTGCATTGGGACGTACATGCATACATATGTACTTGTACATATGTATCACGGTTGCCACTTACCTCTTTTTTTGTCTACCAAAAACTGTACCAGAATATAAGAAATGTACCAAAATATGTTTCAGCTTTAGATTTAATTATTCAAATCAAACATTTTACCAATACACATTGGAGACATAGTTAATAAACCAATTTTTCGCGTGTTTTGTGAATTATTTTAAAATGCTGGAACGTACCTTCCTTAAGAAGAAAAACTCTGTAAAAGAGACAAATAGTTTTTTTATTATAAACTTAGTTGAGCCAATAAATGCGACCCATTTATGTATAAAGATCTATTGTGCTGGCTCTATAAAAGTGTAGAGCACTTGAAAATTTAAACGTTTTAAATTTCCTGTGTCATGTCTCAGATTCGGGGCGCAGACGAAAATCGCCTAATATACTCCAGCCACAGGCATTTCGGACTAAAATTCTGAAGTTTTTCCGAGATTCATTTAGGGTGAGCCATAGATTAGATTGCCATATCCCTTTCTCATCCGCCATTCGCCGGCAGCTTGAGAATCCTCCCATTAGCCTAGTAACTCGGCTATGTAGGGTCCGGTGCATCCCACGTTTTGCGCTAACGTCAACTTATTCGTTGCCATCAGAACCCTCATGTCCCGGTACCAACCAAAGGGCTACCCTCTCCCTATTTAATATGCGTGCTTAATTAAATAATCAATAGAATATTTCAATAATCCATTAGCCTTGATGCTGGCTGACTGTCAAACAGGATATACGAGTATATCCTGGCCCCATTCCTCTTTCTACGAAAAGTTTCACTGTTTTAGCTGAACATTTTATTCAGGGTTTACTCTAGGTATCCGCCCTCTTGCGATAACTAAATCTTCGAAATTTCCGGTCAAGATTAAGCTACGTTGACTTTCTTTCTGTTGATGAAGTTGGCGATGGTGGACTTCAGTGCAATTATTGATAGACCCTTTTCAGAGCATTTGCAATCTAGAGGCAATGTTGCAGTTACCACGTAGATGAAAAGCGTATCTCATAGCCAAAAGCCTAGAAAGTTAAACCTTCAAGGAGCTGTCATTGTTGTTGTAGCGGCTACAATAACCCCGCCAGATTGGTCAATATCTCAGTCGTTGTCGTCAAGCTTCACTAACGGAAAAGCCCTAAGAAGCGTGTAGCCTCAATAGGGTCCGTCTACAGGGACAAGACGTTAGGGTTGTCGGGTTTTCCGGGCATACGAAGAGATGTTTTGTAAGTAAATTTAGCTACCATTTTTAGCTACAACGACTTTTTTTAGCTCTTCTCTAGCCCTTCTTTTAACGGAATTTGGCTACCGCTAAAAATGATTCGCGGCAACACTGCAGGTAAGCCAAATTCTTCCTCAACTGGTATTTCAATCGAAGAGAAGGCATTTGTCATTCGTTTGTCGAAATTCGTATGACAAGAACAAACCAGTGAGGTCTGTGCATTTGCATTCAACGTACTGATTCCCAAATAAAAAAAAAACCTCTACTTTTCCGAAAGGTGCCGAAAGTGCCGAAAGGATGGCAAGAGATATTTTGTCTTGTTCTGATTCACCTCAGGAAAGGCATGTTTGCACCTCATATGTATAGATTGGCAGGGCATACTCCAATGCCAGCGGACAGTCTTAGTATGTTTCATGACATTAACTAGGTGTCCCCCTTTCCTAATAAAGACCCTGATACTCTAAGTACTGACAAAATAATAATCAAAGGTCTCATCAGAGGCGGTTTGTTATTTTTCAGTGCAACTGCCGGGTTTAAGACTTAACAGTGACGGATTTGCGAGGGTAATTTTATAAACACGTTTTTGAAATTCTGACCATCTCACACTGGTGCAGAGCTCACATTTAGCACGAAAATATTCGTATCTCTTGCGAACCACTGCGTATTATTCTAAAATTTTAATACACATTTGAAACTAAATTTCGATACCTCTACCGCTACCGGAATTATAGCCTAAGCTACGGTCACAAGAAATGGATAAGATTCACTTTTCGTTAAATTATAAAAAATATGACAATATCAGCTAAAAATGAAAGGTAATCTGACGTGTTTTAATCCGTACACATTTTTTCGAGTTGCCAGCTAGTCAACATTTTAAAGTTATGTTACAATATCCGAATGAATGTATTTTTATGTTTTGTTAAACTTTGAAGTATTAAGCACATTTTTACTTTATTCCAACGCCCACATAAAAAGAGTAAAGTTTGTTTTTCATAATATGGTTTTTATTTCATTGAAACTGTTCGCTTTTCAAAAAAAAAAAAAAAAAACATTTTCAATTTTTAAACACATAGCAACCTGACACTGACGAACGAAAAATTACACTGAAGATGGCACAACGCCGAAACCGGTTTGTCTCCGAGCCAAATTTGACAAGGGATTGAGGGAAAATCGTTCCACAGTACATCACACTCCTACCCTGCCGGAAACACCAACAACGAAAATGAGAATATTGCAACCTATTTTCTACATTTAAGTTTATAGTTTAGAATGAATAAGGGAACATAGAAGTAAAAACAGTTCAGGATACTATTTTATAATAAGATGAAATCTGAAGTACTTTGATCAATTAGGTTCATAAAAGAATTGTGGTTAAAGAAAAAACCTGGAGTCAGTAGCGATACTAGTTTGTCCTATTAATTTCATTAAGTATGTATGTAGTATGTATGTACATTTGCATGTAAATTTGGCCAACTAAGTTATGATAAGCCTTGTTTTTTCTTTATCACGTTATAATAATATTATAACTACAAAATAGTCATATTTTCAAAACTTGCAATCGCTTGCACTTTTTTACATCTTCAATGAAAAAGTTTTTTTTTTTTAATAAATAAAATCTTTCCTTTTAAACGAGATATAACTTAAATTAAATAATCTTTAATTCCCCATTTCCCTTGTAAATATAATATAGAAAAAACAATAAAAGCAAATAAGGGTAGCTGAAAGTAATTGACATTATAAACACCAAGAAATTCACGTTTGATCAAAGGACTTCATTCTTTTCGAAAATTTGTTTATAATAATTTTCTTTTTTTTCTTACTTTGGTAACGTCATACGTTAAAAGTACCCAGTACCCATCTTTTCAGGATAATTTTCTTGTTTTATTACGACTCACATATATATTACTGTAAATATGAGTGGTGGTTTGTTGTTTTTGCTTATGTCAGAAATTTGATTTAAGTCGCACTAAAATTGTATTTCTGAACTTCCGAAGGATACTTCTTGATAGTTCTTGATAACTATCTTGCAATCAAATACGTGATATGATCAATAAAATTATAAAGGGAAGCCTCTTGAAAATAAGTCTGTATAAAACTAAAACAACTCCAAAAATTGGAATTCCACACTTTTTGCAAAGTTTCATAAAAATTTTGCCTCCCCAATTATTCTTTTTTGAAAAAAATAAAAATAAAATCAGTATGCAGTTATGTAGCCCGTTGAATTTTAGTGCCGCGAAGTGCAATTTTGAAGATGCAGGGACAACAAAGGTATGATCGAAATTGTTCTTTATGTGGAAGAAAATGTGCATGTCCGTTACGGGAAGCACTTCTTACTCATCTCTCTTTTAACTCTACATGCATATAGAATACGTATGTACGTACATAATTTCGTTTTCGTTGTCTAAAACTGATAACATTTCGTAAATCAAACATTGAATAACGTCTAGATGCTAAACTAATTTAGCTGGCAGCATGGTCTCAAATATTTAGAGCTGCATTAGCTGCAGTGTAAATGTTTGCTAACAAGCATTGTTCTTTTTTTTTCTAATTTACAAACAACAACATTATTTTAACAACAGTTCAGCTGTAAAAATATTTAAACAATACGTATGTAAATACATAATATACTCGTACATAATCATACTTGGCTATCTCTTATACATATGTACATATATGCTTGGCTTTATAATAATAATAATAATAGATTGGCGCTTACACATATGTTAGTGTTTGGCCGAGCTTCTCCTCCGATTTGTGGCGTGCGCCTTGATGTTGTCACACAAAGCGGAGGGACCTACAGTTTTACGCCGACTCCGAACGGCGATTGTATTTTTATGAGAAGCTGTTTTTCATGGCAGAAATACACTCGGAGGTTTGCCATTGCCTGCCGAGGGACGACTGCTGTTAAGAAAAACCCT